TCTAAATATATATATATATATTTTTTAATTTATTTCAGAGAGGGAGGGAGAGAGAGGTAGAAACATCAATAATGAGAGGGAATCATTGATAGGCTGCCTCCTGCACGCCCCACATTGGGGATCTAGCCTGCAACCCAGGCATGTGCCCTGACCAGGAATCGAACTGTGGCCTCCTGTTCAACCACTGAGCCATGCCAGCCCAGCAGGAAGTCTTTTCTAACACCATACTCTCGAGTTGAAGTTGTTGTAGAGGCCCAGTACCGTACTCTAAGAAAAACTTACCGAACTTATTGCTCACTCATTTACAGCAACTCGTACCATTTTTTAATCATCATATGTAAACAGTATAACTCGCGGTGACTCTGTAGCCCCTTGAAATGTCTTTCATCAAGAGTCATCCTCCCCAGTCCTGGGTGATCACTTTGGCAGTTGCCACAGCTATTTGCTTGATATTAGAAATTATCTGTCTTTTAGCCACTGGTTCTTGACTCAGTTTGGTCATTAGAATGTCCAAAGATACTCATCAAATCTCCACATCCTTTCCCCCATAGAGGCTCAGGGCTGCTTCTGCCTGGAAGCCTCTGTGGATCAGGTGGGGGGAGGCTTACCTCTCCTCTGTTTCTCCACCTTGCACTTCCTCCCCGAGTCCTGCTGACTGCCATGTCTCACCTGTCCAGGGTTGGAGCGCAAGGAAAAAATAAGTCCAGGAGGTGTCACTGAGACTGATACTGATTGAAGCTGGCTGCATGCTCTCCGGGCTCCTCCAATTATAAGGATCACCTAGAAGGCCCCTAGCTGGGGGTGGAACAGGGATAATGGGGCTCCACCCAGCTTTCCCTAAACATTACCTCCCTCTCTCTATAGTTTGCATAGTGGGTGAGGAATTTTGGGGAACAGGTTTTATATCATTTCCTTTTTTCCATTCTCAGTTGCTATCTGATTTTTATCATGGTGGCATCTTGGTCAAAACTGAAGTAGGCAGGGTCCCATTCTAACTTCCTATCACAATGAATTTTCAAAATGACCTTGTTGAGATGATTTATATCACTCAGGTGTTCTACAGTAATACTGCTTAACTCACCTACCCCCCACCCCCTTAAACTCAGTGACTCACACATTTGCAGGTGAGCTGAGGTCTAGCTGGCCTTGGCTCCAGGGCACAGGTCAGGTCTATGTCTGCTCCAAGTGGCCCTCATCCCTCTGGGACCAGTAGGCCATTTAGAGCGTACTCATCTCATGGCAGGAGCACAGGAAGCGAGCCCAGCTCCCACCCCCCTCCTCCCCCCCCACACACACACACATTGCATGCCTTTGCTTGACAGCCATTGGCTAATCAAGTCATGTGACCAGGCCCATGCTCAGTGGGGTAGGGGTAGACCTGTCCACAAAGGAAAGGAAGGAGTGAATTTTTGCCAGATTCTAAAGTACCCCAGTCTATATATATGTAAAATGAGAATAATTGAAGTTAAATAGTGCAGGAGAATTATTCTTTAAATATCAACAGGTATTATAACATCTACTGTATAAGAAGTAAAAAATGCATGTATGTGCCCTAAGACTTTCTAAAGTTTCCAGTCTAGTTAGCCAGCAACTAACTAATTAGAGGTAAACTTCCATTCTTAAAAAGGTGAGCTCTGTTTCTGATCGTGTATTTTCTTTCTGAAGGGGATCTCAAGTGCCTTTCTTTCTACCATCTAAATGATTTCTCCCTCTTCAGTATGGCTGTGACCCGATCCAAAGATGCTCCTCCTTTTGGTCCCCCCATCCCCAGTGGAACCACATTCCGAAAATCTGATGTCTTCAGAGACTTCTTGTTGGCCAAGGTGATTAATGCAGAGAATGCTGCACACAAGTCCGACAAGTTCCACACTATGGCCACCAGGACCCGCCAAGAGTACCTCAAGGATCTGGCAGAAAACTGTATCTCCAACACACCCATCGATTCCACTGGCAAATTCAACCTCATCTCCCTGACCTCCAAGAAGAAGGAGAAGACCAAAGCTCGGGCGGGCGCTGAGCAGCACAGCTCGGGGGCCATCGCCTGGAGGGTGGCGGCTCAGGACTATGGCCAGGGGATGGAAATCGACTGCATTTTGGGCATTTCCAACGAGTTTGTGGTACTCCTGGACCTACACACCAAGGAGGTGGTATTCAACTGCTACTGCGGGGATGTCATTGGCTGGACCCCAGACTCCTCAACGCTAAAAATCTTCTATGGGCGAGGGGACCACATCTTCCTGCGGACCACAGAGGGCTCTGTGGAGGACATAAGGGACATTGTCCAGAGACTGAAGGTAAGGTCGAGACAGCAAGGGCTACAGCCGTTCTGTGGTTTGGCAGAGGCCTTAGGAACCACTGAAATGCCTTCCCTTGCCCTGTCAGTTAGGCCAGGACCCTAATTGGCCCCAAAAGAATCAAAATTGTCCCTTATACATAGGGGTCTACTGGTTCCTACAGCCTAAGTTTTTTCTGGGGAAGGTGTGGGTCAGGGATCTGAGATTGTCCATGTCAATACCTTGGGAGAACAAAGGCATATTTATTCACTCTAGGTCAGTAGTTCTCAACCTTCCTAATGCCACGACCCTTTAATACAGTTCCTCATGTTGTGGTGACCTCCAACCATAAAATTATTTTCGTTGCTACTTCATAACTGTAATTTTGCTACTGTTATGAATCGTAATGTAAATATCTGATATGCAGGATGTATTTTCATTGTTACAAGTTGAACATAATTAAAGCATAGTGATTAATCACAAAAACAATATGTAATTATATATGTGTTTTCCAATGGTCTTAGGCGGTCCCTGTGAAAGGGTTGTTCGACCCCCAAAGGGGTCGCGACCCACAGGTTGAGAACCGCTGCTCTAGATGTTGATAGAAAACATAAATTTAAGCTTATATTAAAAATGTAAGGTTACCTCCCAGAAGAATTAATAGAGTGAAAAGTTTCCAGGCCATGCAGAAAGCATGATAAAAGAAACAAAACAGCCCAGCCTGTGTGGCTCAGTGGTTGAGCGTCGACCCAGGAACCAAGAGATTCCCAGTCAGGGCACAGACCCAGGTTGCAGGCTCGATCCCCAGTAGAGGCAATGCAGGGGGCATTCTCATCATTGATGTTTCTATCCCTCTTCCTCTCCCTTCCTCGCTCTGAAATCAATTTTTAAAAATTCATTTAAAAAAACACCATAAAATTATATGGCAGCAATAATTCCACATCAGTAATCACAATAAATGTGAGTGATTTAACTTCTCCTATTAAAAGACAAAGATTCAGTATGGATAGAAATCTTACCCTGGTGGGCAGCTCAGACTCAGACCACTGGCCAAACCAAGGGTGACAGATTGGTTTCAAGTCAGGTAACAACTTCGTAACAACTGCTTGTAGCATTGTGCTAAGAAGTGCTCAGGTTGGCCTGGACTGGGTATCTCAATTGGTTAGAGCATTGTTCCAATGCACCAAGTTTACAGGTTCAATCCCCAGTCAGGGAACATACAAGAATCAACCAATGAATGTATAAATAAGTGGAACAACAAATCAATCTCTCTCTCCCTTTCTCCCTCTCTCCCTCCCTCCTTCCCTCCCTCTCCTTCTCTCTCTCTCTCTCTCCCCCCCACTCCCTTTCTCTCTCTTAAATCAATAAATTTAAATTTTAAAAAAAAAAGTACTCAGGCCACATCTGAGGTCCATGAGGAATGCTGTGGTCAGTGATTGGCTGTTAGTGAATTGAACAGAATGGCATGTCTTGGGTGCGAAATAGGGAAGGTAGCATAGCACAGGAGTTAAGAACACAGGTTCAGGAATCTGAAGACCTGCCTTCAAGTCCTGGCACTGCCACTTACCAACTGTGTGACCTTGAACCAATTTGCTTAACTGCTATGTGACTCAGTTTCTCCATCTAAAAATGGGAATGATAATCATCCTACGTCACATGGAAGTTTTAAGCATTGGATGAGTTATATTGCCTAGATAAGCTTGCTTGACTTGGTGGGCTGTGGCCTCTGGATGCCACTGTCTGCTGGCTATCTTTGCCTTTTTAGGCCTTTGCACTCTGTGATTCAGTTCAAGTTGGATTGGTAAAGCCCTACTCTCAGCTTCCCTCACTCCAAAATTCATGCTCAGGTTTAGTATTTAGATTTTCCATTGGGATATGAAGTCCATGAACCAGAGCCTCTGCTTTGCTCACTTATCTAATTTCCGTAGATAAGGGTTGGCACATAGTAGCTGTTCAATCAGTACTGATTAGTTGGTTAGTTGAAAGAGTTTATTGAACCCTGCTTCTGTGTAATCATTTTACATGCATGATTTCACAATCCTCCAACCACCCCCATGGAGTATAAGTGCTGTTCTTATACCCACTTGACAGATGAGGAAATTGAGACTCAGAGAAGTATAGATACTCACATAAGGTCATACAGCCAGTAGATGGCAGACTAGGATCTGAATCCAGGTGTTTCTGACTCCAAAATCAATTTGTGCCCTAACTCAAGACTGGTAGCCTACTGCTTACTCAGCAAGTCCATTTGAGTGTCTATAAGCCCCTAAAAACATGTCCAAGAGCAAACTCCTAGTTTTCCTCCCCCTGTCTCCCAGAGTTTTTCTGTCTCAGTAAAGCACAAGTTGGCACTTCATTTGTTGAGGTCAGAAGCCTTGGCATCAGCCTTGCTCCCCTCTTTCTGTCACACCCACATCCAGTCTGTCAGCTCCACGTCCAGTAGGCACATCCAGCTACTCCTAGCCTTCTACAGCCTCCACCCTGGCCTTTCCTAGACTATCCAGTAGCCTCCTCACAGTCTCCCTTGCATCCATCTTTGCTGCCCTTTGATCTATTTTCAGCATGGTAGTCAGAGGTATCTGATCATGTCACTGCTGTGCTCAAAATCCTCAGCTCACTCTAGGTAAAGCCAAAGTCCTTATGGTGGCCCGTGAGGTCCTACATGAGGTCAGCCTCTCTGACCTCATCTCTCATCACTGCTCTGCTCCAGGCACACAGATTTTTGATGTTTCCTCAGTGTACTAGGCAGGCATCCAACCTCAGGGCCTTTGCACTGCCTGTGCCCTCTCACTGGAACAATTTTCTTGATCTGCACATGGCTCACTTCCTCCTCTCCTACAGGCCTTTATTTATATGTCAGTGAGGCCTCGTTATCTAAAATTGTAAACCCTCTCCACCCATTGCCCCTGCTTTAATTTTCCCCATAACTTACCACCATTTGAAGTGTTTTTTTATATATGTTGTTCACCACTATCCTCAGCACCGAGTCCAGCACCTGGTATGCAGTAAACATTCAGTGAACTTGTACTGAATGCATGCATGTATACCACCCTGTAGTAAAAGCAAAAGTGAATATTTATGGAGGACTGTGTCAGACCCTGCTCAACGCCTTGCACGACTTTGCATTTCTCCCTCAAAAGAGCCTAGTAAGGGAAATACCATTGTCATCTGTGAAGTTGAGGAAACTGAGGCCCAGAGAGGTAAAGTGGCTTGCCCAGGACCCAGAGTGAGTTAAGTGCCTGAGTTCTTCCTCCCCAAATCCTGATAGCAGATTGCACATTTTACCCACATCCTTTTTTTTCTTTTTTCACCTGGTTCTTTACTTTATTTAAAATTAAATATATTGGGATAACATTGGTTAATAACATTATACAAGTTTCAATTGTATAATTCTGTAATACATTGCCTGCATATTGCATTGTATGTTCACTGCCCAAAGCCCAGTCTTCTTCTTTCACCTATTTTTTTAAAATATATTTTTATTTATTTCAGAGAGGAAGGGAGAGGGACAGAGAGATAG